GGGCATTGTGGAGGGTGCCTGTAGTCCCAGCTACTTGGGGGGCTGAGGCAGGAGAATCACTTAAGCCCAAGAGTTTGAGGTTGCTGTGATCTGTGGATGCCATGGCATTCTCCCTAGGATGACACAGGGATACTCTGTCTCAAAAAAAAAAAAAAAAAATTAAAAGCTACAAGAAAAAATTGTGTGTGTTTCAGTCTCAGCATTGCTCATCTCTCCACAATATGACCGCAATATGACCGCAGAGGGGTGTCACTACTTTAAGTTTTAAGCATTTCTAATCCACTAGGCAATAGCTGGAGACAAGGATCAGGTGCGATGGGTGTGGGACCCAAGGCAGAAACATTACCAATATTTGCTTAAGGGATGGGTATGTGCATTGGACTAGAAAACTTAGTACCTCCTTGGTCCAGGAAGGAGGTTTTTTGTCTCCCTGAGAGATGGAGGGGGATGAAATCTTGGCTTATCTGGCCCTCAACATCCTCTCATCTGTATGTGTGAGAGTTTCATCATACATGCAGAACCACCAAATCTCAGTGTCTGACTGGATTTGGGAGGGTAAGCAATACATTTACTTTCCCTCCATCACCTAAATATTCCTCTGATTAGTCTCATTCCTAACTCTGAGGGCATGGAGGGAGGTTGTTCTAAAAACATAACTAAAATTCAGCTCTTGGGAGTTCTACACTATATTTATATCCACTAAGACCAAACACTGAAATTGGGCTGACATCCCAAGTGAAGGAAGAGTAGTCATCAAGTTCACGTAGTGTGCTTCTGTTTAGCCTTCTACTCCCAAAGCTAATGACTTTGCATAAGGCATCATCCTGGATTTAGGACAACTAATCATTTACTAAGCCTGAATCTTTGATTTGAGAAGCAATTGCTTAGTGTGAATTCAAACTTACACTCTTGCACCCTCAAACATACTCCATTGCCAGTCGTTGAAATAAGGCTTTATTTCAATAACTGGCAATCAGTCTGACAAGCCAAAGACTAGACTATACAAAAAATCCTTGCTGACTGTGCTCCCTTCAGCTGGGATATGCTCCCAGAGTTCAGCCTGACAAGAACGGACTTTTCAGACATGTGGCTATGCTTGCCAAGAGGACCTTGTTTATGTCAGAAAGGAGAGAGAGGAGTTCTATACAAAGGATTATGTGTGGGGAGGATGTGGCTTGGGGCTCAGGGACTTCCAGACCCTCTTATTTCTCTCTGGGCTCTGTCTCCCAGGTGAAGGCTCCAGAGAAGATGTGGGAAGGGGTTTGTGCTTTCATTTGCCTGATTCTTCAGCAGAAATTCCCTTCATCCTTCTCCCAGTCCTCTGCTGGGTGTTTCTTGTGTTTTTTGCGTTCCTTGTGCAATTTGTGGTGGTGATGCTGGTGGTGGTGTTGGTGGTGGTGATGGTGTCGCCGCATCCTATGTGACCGTCTGGCTGCAAGGAAGTGAAAAAGGACAGGGAAGAAGTAAAAGGTGGTGAGATGGGGGTGGCCTGATAGAGTGGGCTTCCTTGGGCAGGCTGGTAAACTCACTCTTATCTACAAGATTGTATTATCAGACTCACGTGAAGCCAGATCAACATGTGTAGTAACAGGATGTTTTAACTGGAAACTACAAATACTGGAAACCTACATTGGGGCCTCTGAGGGCAGCCACTTACGTTTGGTGCAGACAATTTGGGGCCTGTCCCATTTGCCATTGCTCCGGCACCGGATGGTGGCCACATGGTGCTGGGCAAATCCTTCCTCGCACTGGTAGCGTACAGTGGCATGGACATTATACTTGGCCTTGCGGGCACCAATGAGTGAAGCATTCTCCACTGCTGGAGGGGGACCACAAAGCACTGGGGACAGAAGAATCTCCATTTAGGGGAGTTGCCAAATCTGGGCTAACATAATTTTGTGTCTTTTTGGGAACGATACCCTCCCCTAGCAGGTCAGCAGGTCCCTGCCTCTGCCCAGCTCTGATCTCACAGAGCTAAGAGTGACAACATCTGTCTCTGTCTCTGTCTCTTTCACCCAAATCGAGAGCTCTGTAGGGGCAGGAACCCTCTGGATATATCTCACTCCATAATTTATATGTCAAGTATGGGGCACAAAGGGAATGAAGGAATTGGGTGAAAGAATAATTATTTGAACAAATGGAAAGGAAAACGAACATGAAAATTGACAAAGCAAAAGAAGCAGGAATGAACTAAAGTAGAAGAGAAAAGTGAACATGACAATGTATACAAATGTTTTCTTTCATATGAAAAGGGCTCTTAAAAATCAATAAGATCAACAAGCTGATTGAAAATTAGGCAAAAGAGATTTTTTTTTTTTTTTTTTTTTTTTTGCATTTTTTGGCCAGGGCTGGGTTTGAACCAGCCACCTCCAGCATATGAGGCCAGCGCCCTACCCTTTTGAGCCACAGGCGCCACCCTGATGCAAGTGTTTTATAGTCACAAATTTCAAAACCACACCTATTCCCCTCTTTCTGTAGGAAGCAAGAGTGGATTTTTGTCTTACCTTCACTCTCAGATTTGTTGGGCCCCCTAGAAGTAAAACTCA